TCATTATTTATTGATGTTTTTGTTTCTTTAATCATGTGTGAGTAGATTCTTTAATTCAAGGTCTAGTGTAGCCCTATTATTATTGATGCATGAATTAAATCTTTAAATTCTTTAATAACTTTAACAATTGAATTGCTAACATGATTGTGATTATGCCAATGCTAGGTTAGACGTAACTATAGTATTGCGATTATTCCATTGTTTTTATCACAGCGAGAGTTGGGTATAAATGGATTTTAGTAAATTAATTTAGGGTTTGATTCATATCACGAGAGTAGTTATGTTTGATAATTGGGAAGTCGGAGTAATGTGTTTAATGTCTTAAATATGCATGATACCATGAGAATAGGACTGATTGTATGTTAGGGAAGCCATTGATACTCGAGAGAGATCCTTGGTATTTATTAGGGTTTACTTTTCCCCGTTCGATTGAAATCGTATGTTAAGGGTAGAATTACAATTGCATCGATAATAATTGTGGTGAAACTAGATCTTGGATGTTTTAAGTACTTGATTTAATCATCTCATTTAAGTTTATTTTCGAATTCTTCTCATACTTAGTTCCGTAGATAATTGATTATAATTGATTCTTGCTTAGTAGAAATTCCAGTCTATTTAATTATTTTTGAACCTTAGTCTCTAGGGATCCGACCCTTACTTGCCAGTCTACATTAGTATTGGTCTGTTAAGTTATTTTTTATAGGTACGCGACACGCCTACCAAATAACATTGGAAGCAATTTAACCATAATATATCTAACAATTAATATAAGACAAATATAATAAAAATTGTTAGAAATATAACAGGAACAAAAGAAAAATGATTCCTTACTTTGATTGCGTTTGCTTACATTGCAACTATAAGACAATAAACACATTAGTAACTTCAAGGAGAATAAATAATAAAATGGAAATTAATTCAAATGGAAATAAAGTTGATTTAGGGTCAAACCCTCAAACAGTTCAACCTTTCACGCCTTGGCTTAAGTATGGAATTTCATGTAAAGTACGGACTCCAGGAAGTGCTTAATGGATGAATTGTGAAATAGGGAAGGCAAGTATTTAGGCTAGAGCATAAGAGAGAAAGAGAGTATCTGAATTGGTGCCCTAAAACTGCGAAATGAGCCTTGTATTTGTAGAGGGGAAATGAGAAATGAGGTTTGGAACCCTAGAAATGAAGCGCAGTAGAAGAAATGAGCACCGCACCACGACATTGGGCACCGTGGCACGGCAGATGTACGTACTGTGGCACGGTAATGTACCGTAGCGTGGTACTCATAAAAACGCGTGGAGAAAGATAAAAATAGGTAAAAATGTACCGTGGCATGGCAATTTTGTTATCTAGAAATCTGTATAAAATTCATTTTTATCTTATATTTTACATAAAGCACGTGATAATTGGGCGGCGTTTAAGCTATTCCGGACTCATTTTAGGTTTAGGGTTTTATAATATTTATTAATAGGGCTTAATTAATAAATAAATGAAATGGATTAAAGATGGTTTGGGCTAAAATGAGGATTGGACAAGGCTTGACTAAATACTTGGACTGAAATGTGGACTGATTTGTAAACTGATTTGTAAACTGTGTTGGATTTTAAGCACTCCCGAGATTAAATACTCGACCCAACCAATAATGGCGGTGAAAGGTTGTTTATCATCAGGTTTGGTTTTGGGGAGACATTTTTAGATGTCTACACATGATAATATCCTCCATTAATGTTCAAATAAAAAATCTAGAATATTCTCCAATTTCTTCTCTAAATAATTTTAGATCAGAATTTTTAATAAATAAATTGCTGAAAATATTGTGAAATTTTCCATTGTAGCATTTGTTTCTACTGTTTACAAAACCAAAGAAGCGGACCATCTTAATGGCGAAAACAACTATTAACTCACATGCGCAAGCTCCGTTAGAATTTTGTTATTTTAATTGTGACTTTAGCGTCTCACCAATTGTTGGGTGAGGCTTACCCAATACTTTCGGTATATATATTTACTAGATGAAACCATTGCGATGCACGGTTTGTTTGTATTTTTTCAAACAAAATATTTTACATAATATATAGTATTTATCTTATAAACTTTGTGATATTCGCTTGCTTAGTTGCTTACTACTTGAATTTTTATTATAAAATGAATTATTAATTTTGTTTCTCATATTTAGATAAAATTTGTAATATATAAAAATTGCAATTCTTTTTTTCATTAGCTAAAATATAACATTTTCCTATGTGACGCTCTAAAATATCTTGAAAAAACTTTTCTTTATTTTATTTTTGTAAAAATTTATCATAATATTGGTTCCATTAATCACCCAACTAAATCAATTAATTTTATTCATGATAATTTCTTACAAATAATAATCTTAGGCCCTGTTCACTTCACCTTAAAATAATAATATTCAGTAAAAATACTTTTAGTTCAATAAAAATGAGTTCAGTTCAGCAAAAATAATTTTAGTTCAGTAAAAATAATTTCAGTTCAGTATAAGTAAAAATAATTTCAGTTCAGTATAAATTAGTAACTCTAAAGAAGAATTATAAAAGAGAATCATTAAAAATAATTTTAGTTCAGTAAAATTAATTTCAGTTCAGCAAAAATAAGGTGAAGTGAACGTGGCCTTATGTGTCGCACTGATAATTTTTTTATTTTGTAATATAATCCTACGTAGCACTTTTAAAAACATAATTTATCTTACGTGGCATAATCCTATGGTAGCGTTTTAAAATTATTAATCCTACGTGGCGATTTTTTTATTATTATTATAATCCTACGCAGTGCTTTAAAAAACTAATCTTACGTGGCATAATCAGATTGTAGCGTTTTAAAAATATTAATCCTAAGTGGTGCTCTAATAATTTTTAAGAAAAATAAAATCTTAAGTGGTGCTCTAAAAACACAGGAAAAAACTCCCCTTTATATATATACTAATTTTATGCCCGGGCGATGCCTGGATTGTCCTAAACTTTTAAGCTTGAATGTTAAATTCGATCATGTAACCCCTTTTGATAATGTAAAATATTTAGACAAACGATATCATTTTGGTTATTTATATAATAGTGTACTTTTTGTAGTTTTATTTGTAAATAGATATCTATATTATTATTAACTTGATATTTTTTTATTGCACTTAAATTATTTTTAATGAACTGAATATATTTTTACCAAACTAAAATTATTTTTTCTGATTAAAACTTTTTTTTTTTTACTGATATTCTATTTTTTATTAAAATATATTATAGATGGATCTCATTTTAAAGAATTTCTTATAACGAATTATATGATGGAAATATTAACAAGTTATAAGATATTTATTAAAAGTTATAATTAATTTTGTATATATGAAATATTAGAAGTATATCTATAATAAAACATTATACAATATTTTTATCCTAAAAAAATCTATCCAAAATTCGCTTACCTAGCATCCTATGTGTCATAATAATACCTATTTGTCGCGTACGTGGCTCGACACTTGGCGAAAAACTGAAATGCCAAGTGTCGATGTCTCGTGGTCTGGCCGGGTGTGTCTTGATTGTTGATAAATAATACTTAGTTTTGTGCCCGGGCGATGCCCAGATTGTTGATAAATTTTTTGGTTTGAATGTTAAAATCGGTCTTATAATCCCTTTTGATAATGCTAGATATTTAGACAAACAATATCATGTCGCTTATTTATATTATAATTGTACTTTTTATAGTTTTGTTTGTAAATAGATATCTATGTTATTATAATTGAACTTTAGTTATATTTACTGAACTGAAAATATTTAATTTTTATCAAACTAAAATTATTTTTACTAATTAGTTTTATTTTTGTTGATTTTTTATTTTCTTAAAAATATATTAAATATATTATAAATGGATCTTATTTTAAAGAACTTTTTAAAACAAATTTTATGATGGAATTAGAACTGAGTCATAGGATATTTATTAAAAGTTATGAATAATTTTGTATATGTGAAATATTAGAAATATATCAATAATAAAACTCTATACAACATTTTTATCTTAAAAAATCTATCCAAAATTCTCTTCCTTACGTGGCTCGACACTTGGCAAAAAACAGGAATGCCAAGTGTCGTTGTCTCGTGGCCTGCCTGTGAGATCGGTTTAATTTTTATCAAACTAAAATTATTTTTATTAATTAAAAATTATTTTTATTGATTTTTTATTATTTTTAAAAATAAATTAAATATATTATAAATGGATCTTATTTTAAAAAACTTTTTAAAACAAATTTTATGATGGAATTAGAACTGAGTTATAAGATATTTATTAAAAGTTATGATTAATTTTGTATATGTGAAATATATCAATAATAAAACACTATACAACATTTTATCTTAAAAAATCTATCCAAAATTCTCTTCCTTAGGTGGCTCGACACTTGGCGAAAATCTAGAATGCCAAGTGTCGCTATCTCGTGGTCTGGCTGCGAGACCAACTTTATTTATTAGTGATATGATATATATTAGATTTATTAACTCTAATAAGATTTATCAGATTTAATAAGTTCAAGTTCAATTAAGTGATCCAATCTTTTGGAAACGAACAAGTTTGGAAGAGACATTGCCCTCACGTTGTTTCATCTTATGTAATCATGGACAAGTTGTCTATTACACGAGGAGTTTTCAGGGAGTATCGTTATGTATCTCTTAGTCGAGGAGTTTTAATTGTACCATTATAGTCATTTTAGTACCATTACAACTAATTATTATATTATTACAGTCCAATAGTATGATTTTAAAACCTAGTGGTACATATATTAGCTTCAAAAGCATACCATTGTAACAATTTTTAACATAATTTAGACCATTTACAATACTATTGTATTAATAATGATACATTGTACATCTCAGTGGTACCAATGTTAATTTTTAAAATATTTACGAATTATTATGTTATGTACCAACAAATACAATACATTACCCCATTACTATTTCCTCCTCTCAGTAAAGGTGCTACCTCGAGTTTTTTTTTTTTTTTTTTTTTTTTTTTTTTTTTTTTTTTTTTTTTTTAAAAAGTTCAATTAAGTGAAAGAAACCCACCCTAATTATTTGATTTTCACTAATTATTTCAGATCACAGCAACATTTAAAAAAAAAAAATTAAATAAAAAAATATCAAAGTCCAACAGCATCCCCTCGCCCCCAATCTCGTAGCCCTGCTGTATCTCTCCCATCCTTACACCTTGTCCACCGAACTCACTCCTTCATTTCTCTCTCCTCCCCAACAACACCCAACGCCGACCACGCGAACAACCAGCAACTGACTGTGGTGCCTCCTCTTCTCTTCCATTTCTTGTTCAATTAAGGTATGCAATTGCATATCTTGTCTTTAACTGGTGCTTCGAGTTGCTGTATCTCTTCTTGCTCGCAGTTCTCATGTTTAGAAGCAACAATCTTGTTGCTAGATTGTTTGAACGCCAGACTCGTGCTTCTACTCCTGGCACCAATGTATGTTTTTCTCGCTTTTTTTAATTACATTTTTTGAACCATTTTAGTTTTGATTGTTTTAGGGATTATCTTGGAATTTCTTACTGACTGATTTATTTTGATTACTAGCATATTATTCTTGTTTATAGCATTCTTGTTTATGATACATATGTGATTGTGTGACTACCCATGTGTTAATCTTGGCCTTTGAGTGAGAAATTGTGTTTTTTGGTACTTATTTGAATGTCAATTGTTCATGTGTAAGTTCGTGGATTGTGATCTAGACGTAAAATGAAGAATTTGAGTGATATAGAATTTGATTGATGATGAACTTGGTGAATTTTTTTATGTGGGTATGTAACGTGTGAGACTTCAAATTAAATTATGGAAGTGGAGCAGAGGTTGGAGTTCTTTGGGTTAGTGTTTGAGAGAATAACCCACCTGTGAGTTTGGATTAGTTTCCCGCCTCAATGAATAATTGCTTTAGGATGGAAAATTGATGGTCTTGATATCTTGTATGTGATCGGACTCTCCTCCAACAGGGCAACACAGACATGTCCAAAGGTTTTCTTAATATTTGTTAAGTAGCCTAGTCTTTGATCTGTGTTATTCTAGAAATAGCTGTTTGCTAATATGTTGGCTGCAAATTTGTCATATTCAATCATTTGGGTTTTTGTTTTATGAATCTAACTGTGACGTTATATATCCAGATTCATCGTGCTAGGCAGCTTTATGAGAATATTGTGCCAAGTTATACCATATATGACGTTGATTGCCCCGACTATTCTTTTCGTAAATTCACTGAAGATGGTCAGTACCTGATCAGCTTTAGTAAAAATTACCAGGAGCTAATTGTTTATAGACCATCATGGCTATCATTTTCATATTCTGGAGAAGAGTGTGATGCTCATGATCTCCCTTCGAGAGCAAACAAGTTTGACAGCTTCTTCACTCAGTTATATTGCGTATCACTTGCATCAACAGATGAAGTTATTTGCAAAGACTTTTTTATTTACAAGGAAAGTAACCAATTTGGACTCTTTGCAACTTCTACTTCACAACTTAACAATGCTGCGTCCACAGAAGGTGCTGTACAAGGTGTTCCATCCATAGAAAAGATTACATTTCACCTACTAAGGTGTGCAGTTTGATCTTGGGTTTTTCAATAGTTTTGGTCTTGTATTGGTTAGTACTTTAGTCTGACATTCATTTTGACCAAATAAGCTTCTTTTTTTTTTTTTTTTTTTCTTGTTTTTATTTTCCCTCTCCTCCCTATGTGATTACTAGGAGCTGGCTTTATTTAACTGTCATCTATTGATCTTTTAGATTGGAAGATGGCATTATGTTGGACAAGAGGATCTTTCACAATGATTTCATTAACTTAACACATAATGTGGGTGTATATCTATATGATGATCTGCTCGCTGTTGTCTCACTCCGCTATCAGATTATACATATACTCCAAGTTAGGGAATCTGGAAATCTTGTTGATGTGCGTGTCATTGGAGAATTTTGTCGAGAAGATGATGAACTCTTCCTGCATTCAAGTGCTCAAGTAAGTCATTCTCTTGAAAGCTGGATTCCTTAATCAAATTTTGTTGATCGCCGTGATTTAGGGAAATTGTGCATTGATACAAATGACATGTGAGATAATGTGATTACCCTTGTATTATCAATCTTAGGGAATTGCTTTTCTGCAGACTTTTTTTTTTTTTTTTCTTTTTGATTGGTAAAATTAACTTAAGTCTACCCCTCTGGATAGGACTAACCTAACACACTACACATCCTTGCGGTTGATAGCGGAAATCAGCTGTCAAAGATGGGCAGTTGTGCCAATAATTGGCTAAAAACACGGGCAGTGTATAAAAAGGCGCGCCTAGGCGTTAGGTGATTAGGGTAGAGCGCCTTTTTTGGTCCAGGCGAGGCACACCTAAGATGCACTTGAGGCGCACCTAGGCAAATTTCTTTAATTGTTTTATATTGTGCGCCTCACTTCAAAGATGCAAACTAAGGCCCGGCTATCACAGGTAGCTTCCCTAAAGCAATTGGAAATTAAGAAATAATTGAATCTCTGAAGATTTGAACAACAATTATTAAAGGTAATTTTGAATAGTCACAGGACATTAAAGCTCTTTTGGGTCTCAATAAACAAACTATTATCTCCCTGTATAACTAAACAAAATCTCTTACGAATAGCGGAATTGATAGTTTGCCTTGATGCCAATGCTTCTGCTTTGCCCATTGCTTTAGCCCTTCCATGACTATTTTTTCTCTCTAGTCTATAATGACAGCCTATAGCAGCTTTCACACGGGAACATTTAGAACCATCAAAATTTATGTTACAAAAGCCTAGGAGAGGTTTTTACCTCTCAATATGGGTATGCAATGGAATTTGCTAATCAACCTACTAATAATGTAGTAAAAAAGCTTCATTGTTGATAATAATCATGATTCTAAACACCTCATACGCCAAATTAAATTAATTTTCCTAAACCATCTTTTTGACCTCATCAAGATTTTTTGTGCATGGAGGTATTTTTTCCATATATTTTTTTTATTTCCAAACTAATTTATCCAAAGGCTTAGAGGATCTGAAATACAATTTAGAAATTCTTTATTTCATTGCATTTGCTTTCTTATTTCCTAGACCACCATAGGCCTTTGGTTGAAAATTCTTATAAGTGTTTTAAGAAGTAATTAAACTAGATTTTGGATGGTTTTTCTTTTATTTCAAAATAAATCCAAAATCCAAGTGACCAAGTTCAACACCACCCTCAGCCCTAAAATTAATAGATTTAGAAACTTTGAATGCCTATATACTTTTGAGCTACAAAATTGAATTATATAAAAATTTAACTCTTATGTCAGTAATTGGACATTCTAAATATTTACTCAACAAGAGTTAACTCTGATTTCCTGTCATCCTTCTAAATGCTTTCCTATCATTATTATTGACATTCACTATTGTTTCTGCAAAAGAAATTCGGGATTTGAGCTGTGGGGGAGCCTGTTCGTCTGGTGAAACAGAGTCCTGCAAAACAAAGAAAGTCAACTCGGGGGGTGTTCTCGAGAAAGCCCCTCCGATAGTTAAGTCAGGCAAATATGTTTAGAGAGAGAATTTGTAGAGAGAGAGTGGAGAAAATTAATTACCTGGCTAATATGTGTAGATTAGTATTTATAGGAGTGGATTAACTGACTAGGGTTCGAATTAGGGTTTCTGGCTGTTTTAGGCCTGTTTGACCGTGTTAGGGTTTCTCGGGATGCGTGCTAAGCACGGTTTCGAAATATTCCTGTCTAGGGTTTAAATGAGGGTATTTTGGTAATTTCCGTATTTAATGAATGTGGGCCCACAAGGGGGTCAAAACATTAGCCCCATGACAAATTCGTGAAGCGCGCTCCGCTGTTCGGGAGTTTTTCGGAAAAATATCGATTGAATGAAATCAACCGTCTTGGAAATATAAGTATGCTCGAGTCGTGTCAACAACACCTTTTTTATTTTTTTATTCTTTTTTTTTTTATTTTTTTTTTATTCCTGTTAGTTGTCAAGCGCGATGCTTTGCATGGCGAGAGCTACTGGGTGACGCCTGGGCATGCTGCGCGCTAGCAAACATCTAAGCTTAATGGGCGATGATGTGCTGCGTGCTTGGTGGTGATATGCTATGCACCAGCATGCACCAACCCTCGCTCCTTAGGGCGACGACTTGCTATGCACTACAGCCCCATGGTCTCCTCGGCGATGATTTGCTATGCATTGCAGCCCATTGGCCTCCTGGTGATGACTTGCCCCTCGGCCAATGGTTTCAGACCTTTTTAATCGCGTTTAAACATCCTTGTGACTTGGAAACAGAGGTGTTTTTGGCACTTATGTGTCTTGTGGGCGATGAAGTGTCATGGGCAGTTTCCTTTACTATCAAGAATGCTTAAAAATGACCACTTCCTCTTTTGTTGAAAGCAATCTCGCCTATTGCTTAGTAAATTTTAACAAAAACTTCAGGATATCATAACTTGGCACTCGGGTGTCCGAATTGAGCAAAATTTATTTTCAACTTGTGTATTTTTTCGAGCTCTATGCGGCTTCGAATATCCGTAGGGGCTTCGGCCCAACATAATTGCGGAAAAAGGCCTCTAGCATGGTGAAAATGCCATTTTCTGATTACATTCTTACTTTAAGGCATGGAATTAGAGGGTGATGTGCTCGGGTCGCCCCTTAACAAGCCCCTAGGATGGGCGATGATATGATTGGCGCCCCTTGGGGCTAAGAGCCCCTAAGATGGGCGATGATATATATGATGCCTCTTGGGGATGAGAACCCCTTGGATAGGCGATGAAAAGAGTTGTACTTTATGTATACAATTTCGTATAATTACACGTATTCTCCGTACTCTTTTGCATGAGTTACAAGTGTCTATGACACACTCTTTCTACATGAGTGACAAGTGTCTTGTTGCTCACTTTTCGAAGCGAATATTTCTCTATATATGGCCAACTTATTCATTTCTTATTCACAATTTCAATCTTAAAAGATTTTTAGTGAGAGAAAGTAGTGAGAGAGAGCGTTTGTAAGGCGAGATGGTAGAAGAAGGCTAGCAAGCTCTTGTCTCGAGGTAGACGAAGAGGTGTTCCTTATTCAGCATTAGTGGGATCTCACTTTAGTTGGAAGACGCTATCTTTTAAGGTACGCCTTTGTTCCTCTCTGCTCGGTGATGAAGGAATCTTCGAACGTGAAATACCGGCGGGGTTAATTTATGTATATTTATCGTCGTAATTGGGACATCCCATTGGTTTCGAACTTGGGCGAACTTAACTTGAGTTTGAATTATGACATTCCTTCGACTAAGGAGGAGGCTGTAGTTGCTCTTTGTTTAGAGATTGAGGGTCGCATGATCAAGGGCAACCCACACGCATTGCCCTCGACCTGGATACCCGACCGGGCCTTTCTAGAGGATGAGAGGAAGCTGGTGTACAGTAGGAGGCTTCTGCTACTCGTCGGGTATGATGGTGGGGGTTTTCCACATATATTATTGTTGTTACCTATATTAACTTCTAAATTTCTTCTAACTTGTATACAGTCCCCAAATACATGGATTTAGAAGCACTAAAGAACCAAAAAGTCATGGCCCTACAAGCCGCCATGGGGAGGAAGAAGTTGAAAGATGGGACTAAGCAATACCTCTCCTGCCTCGAGGAAGTTTTCTTAGTTGATTTTGAATGCATCTTGTGTCCTGAATCTCACTACTTGATATTTTTTGCAGAAGACTAAGGGAACATTAGCTACTCGGCCCGTGTTCGATGTTCATGGTTAAAGCTCCTCGGTGGCTCATGAAGGCCAGGAGGTTCGGCATACACAAACTCAGTTTCCTCTCATGATGCAAGAAGGTTATGACCACTACCATTCCCTCAACGCCCACCAAGTCCTAAGATAAAAAGGCGCGATGACGGCAGTAGTTCGTCTAGCAGGGCCTCCTTTTGGGATTTCGCCAGTATGGGTAGAGAGGCGCGTGCTGAATCGGCGTTGAGTCACCTTTACTTGAGTGTTGATGCCGACCACTAAGGTTTTAGATCACGAGAATGAATTCAAAGCCATGCAACAATTGTTGGGCTGAGGTTAGTGTCTCTTTTTCTTTTATGAAGTCTTCCTTTTGTGTTATGATTGACATGCCCTTATTACAGTTTTCCGTATGGGCCATTGCATTTGCGAGATATGGGCTTGATGTGCAATATTTGACCCATGAAAGGGATTGCAAAGAGGCTGAATTGCTGAGATGTTAGATTGCCGACATGGAGTCGAAACTCAAAGAGGTAAGGGACCTTCAAGTAAAGGATGCTTCGAAGTTAGAAAAGTTGGAGTAAACTCTTGTGGATTTGGAATCAACGAAGGAAAAGTTGGCCATCCCGACACTCAGCAAGAGATGGCGGAGGCATGGCTCTAGATGGCAACGGACTGCCCTTGAAATTGTTCACCCTGTGCTCAAGTTTGATCCTATCTTTGAGAAATACGAGGAAATCTGTCAAAAAGAGCTCAACGAGTTGATACAAAATGTTACGATGGCGATTGGCGACCATGAACTGGAAGGTCATGGCTAAGTGGGCGGTGACCGATACCTCATTGATGATGGGCAACTGGGCACTGGCTATGAGAAGGATGCCACGAGCTCGCACCATACTTAGTTTCCTTGTTTTGTTGCCTTCTTTATGTTCTTGTATCTCTATGTTTTTATGTTGGCTTGTAGTTTGTATTTCAAGTGATATCAATGGAAAAACTATTTGATTTGGAAAATTGCAAAAAATTGTTGAAACATTGATGGATATTATTATGGCAAAATTGTGTTTATTTTTATGTCTTAGGCCCCTTGGGGCTAATAAGCCCCTTGGATGGCGACAATATGTCTTACACCCTATTACATCATTTAAGAGTTTAGAATATAAAGTAAACAGAATAATGAAATATATGAACTAAGGCCCCTACATTGCGCAACATCCAATCTCCTACCCCGATCTGCTTCTCCTTGACCCTCCTATTGAAGTGACGAGTCATTTTCTACTTCTGTGTGAGCT